GAAGTGAATAAGTTGTTGCTTCAAACACAACATGTGAGGAAAAGACTTCATAATTTACAACGGTTCAATCTTTTCCCACATTAAAGTTGTAGTCTTATCCTTAGAGACTTCATTAAAATTATATCCCATAGGCACAAGATAATAACATTTATGGTCTTTGTTAGACGACATGCTTTGATTTAGAGGGGGAGAGGGGGGGGGGGGGGGTGAATAGATCACAAATTTAAAACCAACAACTTTTGGCAAAAATTTGTTTTCAAAAAGTACGGCACAATAAAAAAATAACCCGAATCGAATTGTCTAACCGAACCTACTATCGAAAAGCTATATGCGCAATGTAAACCTTATGGAATGATAATGAACATAAATCGTTCAACAATGATCAAGTTACGGATTAATCAAATGCAAAGCTATTCGTAATGCTTATTTCCAATGAACAAAAAGCGATAAAAATACTTCACAAACAATTTATCGAACACTTTGTGTGTGATTGATCACGTTTGGAAATTCGATTTATTTTGTTGATGTAAAACGCCAATCACAACCAAAGTGATTGTGATTATATCAACAACAATAATTTAAAAGAAAGTTAAAAATAATTTCCAATCGAATTAATCAAAACAACAACGTAATTGAAAATTTGCAAGAACAACAATCAAAGAAAATTAAAGTGATAAAGAGACATCAAGTTTTATTTAGGCAGTTTCCCAATCGGCCTCTCTATGGGTACGTTTGCCCTTAATCTGAAATCGAATTGAGATACTTGCAATTAACCTTATCTTTGCAAAAATGTTTATACAAGAGGTGAATACTTCTAACCCAACAAACTCTATTGTTTGTTGTTGAATCAACCACCTTTAAACCATTGATCAAATATTGATCAAGTCACCAACAATGTGGCTACAATCCTTCGATTATCCCGAGCACTCACTTGTTAAACCCACGATTTCTGAATACGAATCACTGTCTCACGCTACTCCCTTGCAAGAAAACCACCTTGTCCCAAGGCCTTCACTCGATCGAATCCTTGTTGACGTGATCTTGTCCAAAACCTTTAAATCACACCGATCTTGAAGGAAAACTCCACCTTGGTTTTCTTATTTGAAACATACAAAGATCCCAACCCAATATTCTCGGTTACACCAAACCTAATTAGACGTTATCAATCCTAATCTAGATAGTTACCCAATCTAAAAATGATTATGTGCAGTTCAATTGTGTGTATGCATTGAAGAGAGGTTGAAGATGATGGGAATGCTTTGTATTCTGGTTTCGTATAGGTAATCCACAAGTACTTTGCTAGATAAATGGTGCATGTATGAGTATATATAGGTATGTGTTGAAAAATGAACAAAAGGAATGCAATAAGTTTGAGCAAGAATGAGAATTTTAAGTTGGGAAATGGTATAGGTCGGCTTATCCATGCATTCGGGTTGGCATGTTAAGGTCATAGGTCGACCTATAAAGGTTTTTTGATGCGTACAAGTCAACCTATGTGATGCGACCTTTGGACAGAAGCTATAGGCTTCAATACTGCTCCATGGAAGCCAGCCTGAAGCTTCTATAGGTCGGCCTATATTGGACTATACTGAACTTGAGAGTCGTATAGGCCAGTCTGTTCTTGCATGTGTCGGCCTGAAAAGGTTTGACTACCCAAAAATAAGTTTTTCAATACAATTTTGATGCAAGCTTCTTTTCCAACTTACTTAAGTGGTTCCTAACACTAAGATGCACATCTAGAATGGGATGATACCATCCAATATACATAATGCTACACTATCCTAGTTTTGACATCACTCAAAATCCAGAAGCACTCACAACCTTATCCTTCATCCGAGCTTCTTTGCTTGTGTTAGGTGTTTAGACATACATCACCCTTAAATGCTTATATCTTCACTTTCTACAATCCAAAATATTTTTCCATAATCCAAAGTCGTTCTAAAAAACTTCATTATGTCCCATTTAGAACTCGTGGTACTCATTTGTATGCTTAACCCTTTTACTTCACAGTAGGCGCACTTGCTATAAAAGTGAAATGTTCAACCACTCCATGACATGCTCATTTGTAAACTTAGATTTTATTGTGACGATTATTATGATTTGTATAGGAATGTATATTAATATGCATCTCTAACCTCTTTTTTAAGAGATCTTTTGTCTCTTTACAATAAAATACACGACTCCTAATGAGATTTCACATCGGTGGAATATTTGACCGATGTGAGAACAAAATACGGTGACATTTTTAAAATTTTGAATAATAAGAAATGAGATATCCCCTCAGTTGCCACGTGGACCGATAGGAAAACATTTTGTCTCTTTGCGCCTTCCCATTTCTTCCCCCCAAAACTCTATTTAGTTTTATTTAAAAAATGGGCTTTAGCTAATCTATCAGTTAGTAGTTCAACCGATAGGAAAACCCATAGCTATGCCTTCATTTGCCACATAAACCGGTAGGAAATCCATTTAGCTATCTCATTGGTTGTCACATGGATCAATGGGAAAAAGGAGTTTATCTCATTGGTTGGTGAAATGAATGGATAAGAAAACTATAACTTATCCATCCAGTTAAACCAATGGACCGATAAGAAAACTTGTTCACTTTGTAACTTCCCAGAAACCCTATTTTATTCTAAAACAAAATGAAACACAAAATCCAAGCTTAACGAGTGCCTAAAGCAAACAAAATCTCAACATTTATGAAGATCTCACAAAATCCTGAGACATTGGAAAATATAATAGATTAGAGCCATAATCTAATCGATTAGGAGACTTAAAAAAGGAGAATTTGAATTTTATAAAGCTTGCTTAGTCTACACACTCAAATCCTAAAAAAAGCACGTTATAAAAAGGTATCTTATCCTAACTTTCTCTTGCATCTTATTTTTATAAGTCCCTTCTTGTGTGAGCTTTTCTGTTGTAGGCTTTATCACGTCATCTTCAAACCAAAGACCTAAAATACCTCAAAATAGAGAGATTCCATCCTAGCCTTAATAAGAAACAAGAACGAGGAAGATAGAAAAATGATTTATGGAAGAAACATTTATGAGAGGATTCAAACCCTACTCTCACATTTGTCAAGCCACATTAGGAGAATATTTTATAAGAATAACCGATAGAATATACCCAAATCTAGTATGAGAAATCTATACAAATATACTCATTCTAGGAAAAACCCTGGCATCATTAGTGAAAAATGTAAACATAATAATCCATAAAGAATGCTTAAGGAAAATCTTTGAAATACCCTTCCTAGGAACTTCTTATATTTTAGAGAAATCCACTAGACTCAAAATTTTCAATTGAATCGTAGCCCTAAACTCTTTGGTACCAAATCCCGTGGAAGATAAATTTTTTCCTCTTAGAGCAACTCTCCTAAAACCAAAAGTTAGAATCCTTCATTACCTCTTGACAAGAATCTTGCTCATAAGAAACACAAACAACAACTATGTTATAAAAGTTGACATTGTTCCCCTTTGGCTTCTCACACAAAACTTACCAACAAACTGGGTAGAAGAAATATTTCATTACACGTCTCTTTCAAAGGAAAAACCTTTAACAATCCTACCATATGGAGAAATGATCACTACAATCCTAAAAGTATTTAAAGTTGACACCCTTGGAACATGATTAATCACCAACTGTACTTGCTAAAAGCACAATGCGTGACAACCTTAGTGATTACGGGCTTTCAGAGGTGTTTAGGGTATGTTGTGAGGTTTAAAGCTAGCTAATGCAGATATGTGATGAGCTTCGGATATGTGGTATCAATGTAATGAGACTGCATGTCTCTCAACCTCCAAGTTAAGGTATTTATAAAAATCATCGACCTGAATCTTAGACTCCTAAGAAATACCAATCGATCCCAAGAGTGCGGAAATGGGGCAGTTAACCCCTATTATTTAGGATAACATGATATATTCCTCATTGACTCCCTTTCCGCATTGTTGTTGGTTAGGACATATCTCTTTCATATTTCTCACAGAAGGCGAATGATATGAGAAATGGGCGTCACATCCAACTAATGGACACTTGAACTGATAAACGAATGATCAGGAAGCTGCTTGGGCGATACATTACACCTTTCCCCTCTCATGTGGCCCCTTATGGGCCATTTACGAATATACCAATACAAGATTCAACTAATAAATATCAACAATGATTCCCTTTTTCTTCAAGCAATTGTGATAAGGGAGGAACTTTGTCGCTTTACTCTCCCAGTTTTAGTCTCTTTTCTTTATTTCTTATTCCTTCCATTCCTACTTATAATATCTATGACACATTTTTACTAAAAAAAATTTCAAGTTAGAGTGATGGTTGGTGGTTATAGTCGATGATCACGATCAATGGTGGCCAGATTGTTGATTTATGACAATCAGAGTGATGCTTTAAATGGTTGTCAGTGGTGGCGACTAATGGTCAATTAGTGATCGGAGGTGGATGAAATGATGATCGACGATGATCAAAGTAGTGATTGATAATACTTAATGTTGTGGTTGACAGTGGTCAAAATGGTGGTTGTTAGAATAGTGATTGGAGGTGATCACAGTGGTGGTCATAAAGATAGTTATGACATGGTCACATTGGAGATCATATGGTAATTGATAATCGTAATCATAAATAATTGAAATGATGATCGAGAATAATAATAGTGGTGATAACCATAGTAAACAATGGTGAAATTAGAAGTTATAATAACGACAGGGAGTGGTCAACAGTCATATTAATAGTGTTTCTTACTTTTAAAACGAAAACTTATATTTATAAAATATATATATATATATATTTTTAATTTAAATTTTAGTAATGTAAACGGGCAAACACCAATAAATTTTATCTATCGCAAAGACAAAAATAGTTTGAGAGAAAACCATTAAAACATGTTGAAATAACATTACAATTAAATTTAAAATCAAGTTTGCATCTTTATCATCAAATCTTTGTAAGTTCGTTCCTACATATTCATTCCACTTTGCAGTTTCTGATTTTCAAACCGCGAAATGGGAACCATTTCAAACCTAACAAACACTCTCCCACTCCACATTCGAAAATTCAAATTCCCATCTTCTTCTTCTTCTTCTTCATCTTCATCTTATCGTTTTCCTCTCTCTACTCTCTCATGTTCCATTCCAGAACCAGAACCACAACCCAACACCGCAACTTCTATTTCCAAAACCCCTAATTCCAATGCCAATTCCTATTTCCCAAAACGCGGCCAAATCCTCGAATTGCTCTGCGAATCCCTCGCTTTCAAAGGCAAAGGTCTATGCAAAGTCACCGATACCGGTTTTGTTGTCATGTGCGACCGTGCACTTCCCGGCGAACGCTTCATCGGACGTATTACTCGGAAAAAAGATAATTACGCTGAAGCAACTAAGCTTCACACTTTAACTCCTCCTTTTGATACCGTAGATGCACCTTGTGTCTATGTTCCTCATTGTGGTGGTTGCAAGACGCAGAATCTGCTTTATCATGCTCAGGTTAAAGCTAAAGAGGAACAGGTTTGTGACATACAAGATATTTCGATTCGTTTATTCGAGCTTATCTAGTCTCATAAGCACTTTTGTGAGATCATTTTGAAGAATTTGTAAAATATGCTTATAACATATTCGTAGACGTTTTTCAGTTTATTTCATAAATTTGGTATGATAGCTTATGCTAACACTTTATAGTTTATGGAAAAACAGTTTGATTTTATTCTATCTCTTATTATTAAAGTAACTTATACATAAGCATTTATAAGATAAAATATCTATAAGCAATTAATTAAGCTGCTTATACAAACAGGTTCGTGAATTAATCATACATGTTGGAAGGTTTTCTCAAAAGGATTTAGAATTGCATGGGATAATGAAGCCTATTGTTCCATGTGATATTCAATTTCATTATAGAAACAAGGTTGGTTTGTTAGTCTGTTATTGCTTTGTTTGGTTTTTTCATTTTCAAAGTCTAAGCGTCCGATGAAGATGCATTTAGTTGATAATTAAGATGTGTTGTGCTTTGTTTCTTTCTTGTCTAGATGGAATTCTCATTTGGTCCATATAAATGGTTGCCTAAAGAGTCGATGCACGAAAGAAATGTTGATGGTGGAAGTGAAAATTATGCACTTGGATTGCATGTTCCTGGTTTTTTTGATAAAATTATAAATGTGGACAAATGCTTACTCCAAACTGATCCTACTAATAAAGTAAGCAATATTTTGCGATTCAACTATTGACAATAGCCTACACTTATTTGATTACTTATCACAACTGGGAAGTTTATTACACTCTCCTCACGTTTTGACTTGAACATTTGAATAGGTTCTTGCAGCTATCCAAGAGTGTTGGAGGGATCCACAACTTGGTTTCTCTCCCTACAATGTTCATTCACACGTAGGATTTCTTAAGCATTTGATGCTGAGAAGTGGAAGGTATTTAAGTTATATTGTGTTCTCTGTCAATATTGTTTTTGCATCTATATTTGTGAACCATAGAGGTTGGGTTGAGCCTAAATCTACTATACAAAACTACCTTATAAGGTTAGAGATACCTACCACTTATAACCACCATTAAGACTAATAACTACAATGTGTGACACTCAACACACACCTCTGGTGCCCAAGAAGGTAGGAATGGACATCTAGAGCATTACATGAGTGACTCAATAATGAGTTAGTGATATATGATAAACTTTGATACTATCTTAAAATTTGTGTTGAGCCTAACTCAACTGCAAAAACCAACTTATGTGGTGAAGGATGCCCACCGATTATAACCACTATTCAAACCACATCACTATGCAATGTGGGATTCAATACACCAGATAATGCTCAGACATTGTATTTAGATGGGCACAAAAGTTGATTTTATCTCAGAAAACTAGGGCAAAGGTACAGAGGATATGTTATAAAGAAATATAAAAAATTAAACAATAATATCATCGATTCTTAAGATAATTACATTTCCACAATGTTTTTCAATTCCAAATTTTCACAAAACTTCATAAAGTATGTAGAGCACTAATACCTGAAGAAGGAATCAAATTTAAAGGAGTGAAATAACAATGTTTCATTTGAAAGGTACCTTGTTTTCTATCAATATTTTTTGATCCAGGGATGTAATGACCGGTCTGCCTGAAGTAATGGTCAACTTTGTGACATCTTCCTACAAGCCCGAACTGCTGAAAGTCCTAGTCGATAAAGTTTCGGCATTTCCGGAAGTGGTTGGTACTTAAGTTTTTCAATTTTTTGTTAGGATTATACATTCTGCTTCAGCTTCTTCACATATGTTTCTTCATTAACTTTCAAAACCCCTAAAACCTGGTATGCTTTGAACTAAGTTCTGTTTCTATATAAGATAGTGAACATTCAAGTGCTTCTTTCCATTCATCAACTTAAGCATATCTAAGAGTTGATCTTAACATGGTGGTAGAGTTTCTTTGATCAAGTAGTCTAGAGTTTTGAGTTTTGTTGCGCCCATTATTTATGATAAAATTTAATTAATTTTTATACAAGGTAAAATGGGCTTGTACATTCTCCATGCTTCAAGCCATAAACACTAGAGCCTAGAGGAATGTATAAATGACATGAAGCTATTTGGTGCTTCCTCCGAACATCTTAAGCTTTTAGGATAGTTGATGCTTAAAAATATCTGTCAATTTTATTGACCCCTAGGTTTCAAATTTCAAGCTACATTGGGGGAATGGTTCCTGTAACATCCCACATCTGTCAGTTTGATTGACCCCTAGATTTCAAATTTTAAGGTATATCAAGGGGATGGATCTCGTAGCATCCCACTACTAAATAGGGAGGGGGTGGAACTGAGGTGAACTGATGCTGTGCGAACTATTGTTTGGGTTGTCAAGAAGACACTTGGCACTGAACTATGCTCACTAAATCATGCTTTGAATTTTTTATGAGGGGTGATAGAAGCAATGAAGGGGATATGTAAGAAATCTCATCAATGTAATTATTAACAATTTAGTTTTATGGACTGGTGTACTTCAAGATTTTTATGACAAATGTATTTTTGTGTTTAAAAAACTGTGATTTTAGTTTTGGGTGAAGTTTTCATTTTTGCATCGAGTTTCCTTCATATGTTGTCAGTTTATTTAACATTTGAACCCAACTGTCTCTTATTTTGTATGTACACATTTTACCTTATTAACCTGTTTCCAAACTATATGTATCTATTGTATTTAGTTTCATGAAGTTCCTTCTCTGCATGAATGATAGGTAAGCATCATGAATAATGTGAATACTTCTGTTGGAAACACATCTGTTGGGGAGGAGGAATACACTTTGCATGGGAAATCTAGCATTACAGAGACTTTAAGAGGGCTTACCTTCCAAATATCAGCAAACTCTTTCTTCCAAACAAATACTCATCAGGTTTACAATATGCTAAAAAATATCAGCAAACTCTAGCATTACAGATCCCGTCTCATATTTTATATCTTAAATTTAATCATTACCATGGGCAAAGAAATATAACTAGTACGTTACCTATTAGGCAGAAGTGTTGTATAAACTGATAGAAGAATGTGCTGGCATCAAAGGAGATGGCTCAGAAATTGTCCTTGACCTGTTTTGTGGAACAGGCACCATAGGTCTTACACTTGCCAGAAGGTAAGCTTTAATCTTCATTTGGTTTTACTAGTATTTTAGGACAAACTGTCAAACAATTAATTAATGTCTGCTCTTCCAATTTTGAACAGTGTAAAGCATGTTTATGGCTATGAAGTAGTTCCTCAAGCCATTGCAGATGCCCGACTTAATGCCAAGTTAAATGACATACAAAATGCAACATTTGTTCAGGGGGATCTCAATAAAATTGATGAGAACTTCGGGAAGAATTTTCCTAAACCAGACATTGTTATTTCAGGTTTCATTCCTCTGCATTTCCATATTCCTTCATATTCTATCATTATATATCTCTCAATTAGTTTGGCTTCTTCAATTGATTAGAATTGACTGCAGTCTTGATCAGAAGTATGTATGGCTCTATCCTACTTTTTGAAAATGCCATTGTTGTTCACTTTTCCTCCATCCATTATTCTTGTTAAATAGCCACCATAGTGGTGCTATACTGCATTAGTGTTGTGAAATTTGGACATACCGATATTGTTCTTCGATACAATATTTAGTATATAATGTTATCAAATAGCTGTGCTATAGCATTATTGCATAGCGGAGTTTTAACAATTCGCTATTTTCCGCAATCCGCAATTGACCACTGATTTGAATGAAGTTTCAATGAAGCAAGTGGATGACTGTTCATCATTTGTATACATTAGAGCAGTACTTGCTTTGTTTTGTGTTTCTTGTACGGAGGTAGATATGATGGCTTATGTGGTTCTTGGTAAATGTTTCAGTAGACAATTTCCATGCCGAAAAAACCAAATTAGCTCTACTTCAGTATTAACGTGTTGGTCATTTTTATTCTTCACATTGACTGAAGATCACAATTAAAATCTTTTGTTGTCATTTGGTCTGATCAATACAGATCCCAACCGCCCAGGGATGCACATGAAGTTGATTAAATTCCTGCTAAATCTTAAGGCGCCTCGCATAGTTTATGTATCATGCAATCCTGCCACATGTGCACGGGACCTTGATTATCTATGTCATGGTGTGGTATGTGTAACTTTTTTTTTTAATTTTTTTTTTTTAGCTCTAGTTTTTTGAGATTCAGCTATTTAAGTTACTGAATATTTTGTGCAGGCAGAGCTGAATATAAAAGGGTGTTACAAGCTAATAAGCCTACAGCCAGTTGACATGTTCCCACACACACCTCATATTGAGTGTGTTTGCCTTTTGGAGCTTTGTTGATCTGTGAACCTGTAAACCTTTCCATTTCAAGGTTGGGCACCGTTTCATTTTCTCTGCTACATCTCAAACTACTTTGCAGTTGGACTTTGGATGTCTGATGAATTTTTAATGACTTTCCATTCATTTAGATTATATTTGAGAAAAGAAAGATCAATTATTATTAGGAACCCAAAACTTAAGAGGCAGTGACAAAAGAGAACAATTTATTAAGAAAACAGGAAGAATATGAGGGTAAAACTCTCCTCCAACGGTTTCCACTTTACAACAGAGTCACTGTTCTATTCACCAGAAGTTTAAAATACTCAATAATTATCCTCTTCTATCCATGTATTCCCCTATTTACAGATGACACTCTATAACAAATCAGTTAACTAACAAACTTCCGTAACGAACTCCCCTTTATTCTATATCCTAACAATCATCACTACATTTCTACTTGAGTTTTGTCTGATGTGACCACCATCTTTTTTGTTTTGAACAACAAAAGCTAGTTGTTAGTATATTTGTTAGAAAGTTAGTGGCAATGATCAAACTAACACCTTATGCCTCCCAATCCCCAAGTCCCTCAACCAATACCACCAAGTCACCTTATGCCTCCATCTGTAATTACATTTTTAATTTTTTGATGTAAAATGAATACAAAGTGCAATATTCTATAGGTAACCACACTCTGGATTTATTCTTTTCAGAAGGATTAACTATGACATGCATCCATGGCTATACAATTTTTCAATGAAAATTGCATATCCTCTTGCCCTGTATTTCTATTCAGCATGATTATAGAATTCTCAAGACTTTCTTGAAGGGCTTCGTGCAGCTAAAATATTAATATAATGATAATGACAACGTGTCAGATTTGTAAAATTACATAATACTCAATCTATATGATGCTTTAGTGTCTTCTACTGATTGTATGAGTTGAGGTTGTGAGTCATTGGTAATTGGGACTAATAATCCAAATATTTCTCTAGTTCTATTGTTTGATTGTTTGCTTGCTTATTTACTCCCTTTTCTTTTCCTGATTTTTCTGTTTCTGCCATGTCTTCCAGGAGATAACAAGCTTGGTACTAGTTATAGGTCAAGGTTGGGTCTTCAAGGTGAAAAGTGGGAAAAACATACTTTCAATGCAAGGTTTGACTAATTTCTTGCCTAACCAAAACTATTGCATCAGTATACAAAGTCATTTTGAATGGTAGTAGCACTGGCAAGCATGCATGGACGAATGGATTGTTATCCACTTTTTAGAATTTCTCATGTAATCTATTCATGCAGAGCCTCCAAAGGTTGGATTAATTCTTAATCTCCAAGTGTGGATTACTATCCCACTTCACGTAACTTGCCCATCATGATTCTCCATCACGATTCTTTCATAAGGTCAGACTCTGGCATAATTGAAGAAGGTTGAGGTGCACGTGCTTGAAAATCAGATGTTTGGTCATATTATGTTATTTAACCTCTGTCTTTGTAATGTTTTCAAGACTAATAAGCTTTCAATTAATTTCGAAGGACATGTTTATATCATTATTCAGAGTCAGTTTTGCCCGAGATAAAAGGAGCACTGGGCTCAAACTTAATGCAGCCACGAATCTTAAGGGATATATCTACTAGTATGCTAAACAAGACCTGTTTTCTCAACTTATTATAGAATGTATCTTTTTGTAGACTACTAAGTAACTGTACCTTTTTGCAATTTGTTATCTTTGGATGAGTAATCAATTGTGATCCCCAAATCTGAAAATAATGCTCAATCTGTCCCACTTTGAAATTTTTCTCTCAATATCACTTACTTCCTTTATCCTCATCCTTTCCATGTCTGTGGACCCTTAGATCTTTTTTAGTTTAATCAGAGGGCATAGGTTGAGTCAACGAAGGTTGACTCCCCTTTACCCCTCGATAGACTCTGAAACACACACGGGCCTCTACTTGGGCTTGGATTACCATCGACACTTCTCTTTTTGTCCATTTTATTCTTATTTTTTTATTTCTACTTGGATTATTTGTTTAGACCTTGGGCCCTTGTTTAGTTCATATGCTAGGTCCTTAGTATAATAATACTCTTGCACTCCCTTGCTTGATTTTTTTATTATCTCATTTATTTCCTTAATTTTTTAAATTAATTAAATAAATATTTTCAACAATTTAAAATCCTTAATCTAACGTCAAGTGAAATGTTTTTAAAAAATTGTTTCTTTCAGTTTCTAAAAATTTGTTTCTTTAAGTCAAATTTGAATTAGCGTGAACAAAACTTTGATTTTCATCGAGTGCATTTTTCTTAATTAAAATAAGAGATCTAATCACTTTTAAATCTTTTCATAATAAATCGGACAAAAAAGAAAATGGTCTAATGTCTATTATTCTTTTTTCCAATTATTTGGATACGAGGTGTCTAAAACGACTATTCGAGCAATCTTCATCTGTCTAAAAATCTCAACTTGATTCATCTCAAATATCTTTCGCAATCAAACTTTGAGCAAATTTATTTTTGCAATAAATTAGACAAATGAAAATGGTCTAGTGTCTACTATTCTTTTTCCTGAATACTTGGATACGAAGTGTATAGTTTGGCCATTCGAGTATTTTGTTGTCCATTCTGACGCGATGCCAATGTTTATCTCTCTATGTTTTTGGTAGCAAGCAGTGTTTTCCTCTCGAAAGCGACTAAACATTTTTTGCTAAAATTAACCAACCAACCAACATTTGTTATGAAGAACTATGTAGTTATGAATTCTTCATCGCACCCGATGATACGTAAGAGCGAGATTCGTAATCTCGTCAAACACCCTAATTAAAACCTTTTTACGACTCCCTTTTATTTTCCTTTTCAATTTTTCACCATTCAAAGAAAACAAATAAAATAGGCTAACATTCCAATCGTAAATCTAACTAAATGATTCTCGTTGAATACAACGGATGTGAGAGGTGCTAATACCTTCCCCTGAAATAATCGACTCCTAAACTTGAATTTGGTTGTGACGACTATTTTCTTTTTATTTTAAGAATTTTATCAATAATTTTCTTTTTCTTTTTAAAATAAATAAAATTCGGTGACGCCTCTGTTATTTCGAGCGTGCGAGTGCTCGTGGTATTTTTTATTCCGCGACACAATTCCTTAAAATTCTCCACATAGATGGAATCCATGATTGGCAGAATAATTGGACTTGACATGAGATCTGCATCTATATTTAGGCTAGACTATTGGCACCCTGAGTTTTTGCATCTACCCCGTGATTGTTGAAGCCGTGAATTTGGGAAATAAAATGGTTATATATCCAACATCAACCACTACATTGAATGAAATGAGATGGTTGGTACATTGTTTAAATTCCAAATGGATATTGAAAATGAAAGCAACATAATGTCATGTAAATGGATGTGTACATGGAATATTATAGTTGTGTACTTGGGGTAGCAAAACTTGTGTATTGATTTTATGTGTCAGTTTAGATCCATTGAATCTGAGTGGAAGTAGATCTAGTTAGATCTCGCATTAGATTCCATTAACTCTACAACCATTTTACTGGATTCAAACTTGGAGCTGAATGAAATAATGACAATAATGGTAATGAACTAAGGTGAATTATTTCTTCAACTATACACTGAGGAGGAAACAAAAGAAAAGGACGGATCATTATCAACCTCATTGTAGGGACTTATACATTTGTTGAGTTAGAAGCAATGAATGTGACAAGCCTAGTGTATATATGCATGCATGATAGGGAGAAAAAATACAGTCACTGCCAATGACTGCGACAATTCACGTATGGTTGACATCATGCAGGGAATCAACGATATATATATATATATGGGAAGAGCTGGCAAATGGGGCTCAGTGTTTATTTGACATTACTATGTGAACTCTTTGATTGAAGGGATTGAGAATAAATAAGGGTGCTTCTAGCTTGGGCCATGTTATGGGTTTGCATGAATGCCAAATAGGCTGGAAAATAGTCTACGACCTAATGGTCCATATCAATTTAAGGGAATTTATTATGGCATTTTATGGTGTGAAAAAACACCTTATAAAAAGTCAAACTTACCTTTTAAATTTTAGAGATACATCTTCGAACGCATCATGGACCAACATTATGACATATTAAATGAGTGTCATTCTAAATTAATATTAAAAAATATTCTGGAGATGCATTTCCGACTATGTTCAACAAATATTTTCATAGTTGATCGGCCTAGTGGACATTCCAGAGAAGCATCTTCAGAAGTTTGAGATGGGGTTTTGAAATTTCTGTGACCTTTGCATGTCTGATGTTTTCGAAGACGCATCTCCGAAATAGTTTGATAACTGCATGATCACACAACCATACATGTTTTCCACTCCAAACCCTTGCCAAAAATCCTTCCATTCGCAATCCATATTTTCACTCCAAATCTTCAATCTTGTGTTTTATCACATTAAAGGGAGTAAAAAAAGTTGGAATTTCAGGTAAATATCATTTATTTCAAGTTCTATTGCTCACATTAATCTTGTTTTCAAACTGAAAAACACGCTTTTATTCCGAGATATATTTCCGGAACGAGTATGAACTCATTCGGAAATGAATTTCTGGTATTTGTCAGTTATCATTCTTTCAGCTCTGTTTACAACATTAACGCTTAATGAGTATTTTATTTCAACTTTCCTGGAAACAATTTCAACCGAGAGTTGAAAAGCAACACCATTTATCCCACTTCAAACTTCTTGGTCATGATAACCCTTCATCCGGTCTTTGTAAACTTTGTTGGATTCATACGCTTGCAAGCGCAATTCCTCCAATTCATGAAGTTGGATTTTTCTTTTTTTACCACTTAACCTTTGACCAAAATTCAACAATTTCAACACCCAAAAGGCCTTATGTTCCAACTCTACCGGAAAGTGATAATTCTTACCATAGATAATCTTGAACGAAGTGAGACCAAACAGAGCCTTAAAAGTCGTCTGATAAGCCCACAAAGCATCGTCTAACTTGCTCGACCAATCTTTTCTAGAAGCGGACACCGTTTTTTCC